GCCGAAAAGAGGGGGAGTGGGGCTGGTCAAGTGACGACGGACGGGTTGTGTGTTCACTTTTCGACAGAACGACTGACGAACCGGTGACTGGAGCCAAGTGGAGCCTGCTCTTGTCCGCCTGCCTTGCGCGAATCTGGCCGGCGCCTGGGCACACACGACACAGTCGGCTGGGCCGGGCAAATGGTACCGAGAGGGTCGCTTGACGTTGAAACTGTGAACCAAACAGTCGCCCTCAGTTGCATGGATTGGTGGGAAATCACAGTCCTCTCGCTATTCACACGCGAAAACATATAATTTTGAGTCAACTCAAAGCAGACGGAGAGAAATGAGGAAAAAGCCAAGACAACCGGAGCAGAATGCCGTCTGAAATTAGCCCCGCAACGGCCTCACTCATCCCGTTCCAGTCTCTCCTCTGTCGGTGTGCATCTGTCGCTCTCACTCTCGCTCTCACCCTCATTCTCACCCTTGCTCTCGCTTATGTACATCAGCATGTAGACAGAGTAGGACGCTTTTGGAGGCATAAAAGTCTCCTTAGTCCGTCTAGTGTATAATTAAGCTGGCATGGAGTGGCATTCTTTTGCTCCACGCGGCTGCAGGAAGCATCGAGAAGCAGGCCTCGGAATTGCAGGAGCCCAGCAATCAAGGCGTCCGTCTGCAGCCTCCCCTCTTCCTGCAAAGGGGGAGATCGACGACGTGGAAGCATTAATCTCGGTGCCAAACAGAAATCTAGTCACTGCCAGACTGAACGGGCTGCTCGGCGCCCCAACGGACATGCACACGAGGCCAAGTCTCGTGGCTTGTTGCCGCGTGGAGGCGAGAGCACGACCGCCAATGTTGCTCTCTTTCGGATACCGATCATGCTCACAATGGTGGTGGTGGTGGTGGTGGTCGTCGTCGTCGTCATCGTCATCGTCGTGATAGTGGAACTAGAGACGTTGGTGATGATGTTGGCGGCAGTGCAGACGAAGATAGAAGTAGTGGTGCTGAGGCTGGAGATGAAGTAATGCTTGAGATGGCAAAATTGAAAGTACCGGCAGCTGTGAAAGTGGTTGGTGTTTTGGGTAGCAGCGATGGGGATGGGTCTTTTAGTGGCGTCTCGATGCTAGCGGTGAAGGTAGTGGTGTTACTGGTGGGGGGAGGCGGGGTTGGTGTTGATGCTGTCTGTGGCAGTGGGGATGGCGACAGTC